TCTGGAGACCAGGGTTCAAATCCCAGCTTTGCTGTATAGCCATGGAAACCCACTGGGTGAACTTGGCCCAGTCACACTCTCTCAGTGTGGCACTGGTAAACCACTTCTGAACAAATCTTGCCAAGAAACCCCCATGATAGGTTTGCCTTAGAGTCACCATAAGTCAGAAATGACTTGAAGCCACACAGCAACAACAACAAACTGTAGATGGGGTCCATAGAGGCAATATGGAAGGAACTTCCTCCTAGCCAGAGAAACTGGGAATACTGAATGGCAGGCTTCTCCTCTTTGCTGTCCCCCCCCCCATCCTTTCTCCCCGCCACCTTTTTTCCTCCTATCTCCCTTTCTTCCTTCACTGGCATAGTTACCCCATCAGCAGAGCTGATAAGATCCCGGCCAAAGGTTTACAAACCCAAGGTGAGTGTCAACAAATTCCGTCTGTCATTTGACAAAGTCATTTGTAATTAATCACATAGGTCACACATTGCAAGACTTGAGACACCCGGCCCTGAAAGTTAAAGGACTTTGCCCCAAAAACAGCCACTCAGACTCCAAACATTTCCATTGGCAGTGTTTCCTCCACTGCAGGGAATCTGGGCTATTTGAAGGGGAGGGAGACATTGGGGGATTTAACAAATAATGACTTTCAAATGTGTTGTTTCTCTGTCCTCTCCCCTCAACCATTCATTTTTCTCTAATTGATCTTAACAATAAATTCCACAGATCCGTTTTTCACATTTTCTGAAAAGCTGACTGTTTGAAGTACATAATCTTTCTGTCCACTGGATGGCTTGCATAAGGTCTAACATAAGAAATGACATTCATTTGAACTCTTTTCTTAGTGACTCAACATTACAGGAACAGGCAAACAAAACATATTCTTTATTCTGTCTTGTGAAGCAACAACAATAGTAAAAAGGTGATATTTATAACACTTTTATGCTGGCTTTCCAGGAAATGCATAAGGTGGTAAGCAAAACAAAATAAAGATAAAACCACACCAAAAAAAAAATGGCTAAAAATACAAGTCAAATCACTCTCCCCAGGAGGCTGGTGGATTTGAATGATTTTCAGTTGACTCTTAGGGATTTTTTCAATCACCTTAGCAAGGAATTTTATTCAAGTCCTGTATCCACCCCACCCCATAGTCTGATGCTTGCTATGACTCCTGGGAAACCTGGGATTTGTAGTATGGTGAAATACTCAGAATTCTGTGCCAGAGGCAGCAATAGACCACTACCCTGAACATCAGCACTAGAAGTCTCCAGCAAATCACAGGATTCTATAAGATGGGACCAAGAAAGTTAAAATGGTAAAACTTTATAGTAAACTGTATACGAGCCAGTGTGGTGTAGTGGTTTGAGCACTGGACTACAACTGGAGTCCAGGGTTTAAATCCCCACTTGGCCATGAAACCCGTTGGTCTTAGGCAATTCACACCCTCTCAGCATGAGAGGAAGGCAATGGCAAACTCCCCCAGAAAAGGCCTTGCCAAGAAAATGCTATGATAGATTTGCTTTAGAGTCTCCATAAGTCAGAAATGACTTGAAAGCACACAACAACAAACACTGTATAACAGAACAGTTCCAGCATAACTGTAGTGTGGCTATTAAACTGCTATAGCTGTGTATTATGCATACACTCTTAGGACTTTATCACACGGGGGCCAGTTGCGTCTTTAAAAAGCGCAAATAAACAATCCAGAAAATAAAGTGAAAATAGAGCATAATCACGCAAATGAATTTCACACGTAATTAGAATAAATGCGAAATAACACGAAAAGCAATAAAAAGGCGTTTTTACATTTCATATAGAAGTGAAAGAAACCCATAAATGTACTAGAAATGGTATACTTGCACATGCGCAGAAAGAGAAAGCAGAGAGGCTCGTGTCTGCATGGCATGTTTGTCACCCAAGCAAAAACAGGAAGTAAAAGCAGCCCCACAGAACCATGGAAAAACTGGAAAAAAGAATTAAAGGAGGGTTATTGTGTGAATAAACCGAATTTGACTTTCACACTAGAGTAAATGCGCAATTACTGTAAATCACAAATGCATTTTCCCTAAAATCCCAAAAGTAAAAAGATTTGGGATAACACCATTTTCTGACCACTTTAATAGCAGTTTTTGTGCAATGTCATGTGGAATCGTTGCACATAATTATGTGTTTTTGGGGAGATTTGTATAGGATAAACTATAGATTTCCCCAGTGTGATAAAGTGCTTAGCTGACTTCTGAAAAGGAGGAATGATAAATTTTGGTTAACTCCATCTCCCCTTTCCATCAAAATCCAAGGAAGCAGTTCCTAAACCAGTGTCTTAAG